GCCCCTCTGAGGAAACCAAAGCCTAGAGAAGTTACATGAATTTGACTCTCCCACTGTGTCTCAAACATACTATGTCTTTAATAGACACACAACAAATGTTCCCTGAATTGAACTAAGTGACTTGACAGAATTATAGAATTAATGAGTGACAAAGGTGAGAATTGAACCCATGTGTCATAACCCCTAAACAAATGTTCCATCAATCACATTAAGTTAATGCAGTATTTGCCTTTCTATAAATGTCAATGTAGCTATCACTCTCACTGTATGCTCAAAAGTTCTAGGAAAACATACCTGGATCTCCATCACTTCCCCCAGAAATCTCTCTCTTGTTTCTAACAACATAAGTCTCTAATTCCACATTGCATTATCATGTTCTGTTTTCCTCCCATAAGTAAATATCATATCTTGGCAATCATAATGGATATCTATCCAGAAATTAATTAATGGTCATCCAAATGTTCTCTAGCTACAATCAGGTGCTTAGCTCACAGTAATCAGCCCTTGAGTACCACGCACCTAGGAAGTCTCTCTGGTTTCCTTGCATGATTTCCATTATTATTGCCAATCTCTATTCAGAAATTAGCAAATCTTTTTCTGCTTAGTTTAAAAAAATAATGTTTACTGCACCAACGTGTCTCAGGTTTGTTCCATCGTATTCCCATATCTTCTATATAACCTTAAACTACAAATGTTCTTTACCATGCCCAATACTGGCATTATTTTTCACGTCAATCTCTCACTACATTTTTGTCATCCATCTAACAAATATATAGATAGTATCTACTGTTCCTCATTTCTTAAGCTTTTGCATTCAGGCAATCCAATCTTTTTTTTCCCATGAGTCAATAATTGCTCTAGACACCCCCAACTCAAAGTTTTCTTCTGCTTTTTTTGGGGGGGTGGTGTGGGGGGAATGGAGTTTCGCTCTTGTTGCCCAGGCTGAAGTGCAGTGGCATGATATCGGCTCACCACAACCTCTGCCTCCCGGATTCAAGCAAGTCTCCTGCCTCGGCCTCCCAACTAGCTGGGATTACAGGCATGCACCACCACGCCTGGCTAATTTTGTATTTTTAGTAGAGATGGGGTTTCTCCATGTTGGTCAGGCTGGTCCGAAGTCTCAACCTCAGGTGATCCACCCGCCTCGGGCCTCTCATAATGCTGGGATTACAGGCGTGAGCCACCGTGCCCAGTCTTTTTCTCATTTCTCCACATTCACAGCTCTTTTCATCATTCCCCAACTGCATGGCATCCTTTTCACCCACTGTCGCTGTGATGCATACCTGCACCACATCTTGCACACAGCAAGTTAGCTTCAATTACTCTCAGCCAGAGCTCACACAAACCTTCAGACATGTGAGATCATCTCAGCCCATCCCACCTAAGGCAGAATTCTGTGCTCTCCTGTCTTTTAGTTTCCTGCTCTCTTCTCTCCATTATTCCTAATACACTGAGGACCCAGTATCCAATTCGAAGCTCCTTTTCCTCCATCACTTTCAGATGACTGTGTTCTTAAAACTCTCTAGATTGGTTATGTTAAATATGGTCACCACTGCTCACATGTGGCTCCTGACCAACTGAAACATGGCTAATCCAAATGCACATGTGCTGGAAGTGTAAAATAACACTGGGTTTTGAAGACTTAATATGAAAAAAGAACATAAAATTATCTCATTAAAATGTTAATATTAATTAATGTTGAAATAATATTTTGGACATCTTCAATTTAAAAATGTATTATTAATTTTGCCTATTTTTATCTTTTTAATGTGGCTGATAAAAATGTTTAAATGATATGTGTGGCCTGCATCTATCTCTGCTAGCCAGCACTACTTTGGGCTCTTCTATTGACTCACACTTTAATCTTCCCCAATAGTTCAGAATTCTCTCCTCTTTTATCACTTTCACTAAAAGACGTTCTCTCCATTTTCCCTACTGCTCCCCACATGCCAAACCTGGGATTCTTTTCAATCCACCATTTCCAATAACTTTCTACTCAAGTACTTCTATATATCATATTTCTTTTCATCTGCTAATATAGCATCTACTCCTACAATCAAATCATAACGAAGTTCCTTTTATCCTTCGTCAGTCCTAGTAGAGAATGGTAACTGTCTTAACTCTCAACAAAATTTTTTAAAAAGTCTCTGTAATTCCCCAAAAAATAACCTCACTAATCATCCTCCAAATTGGCCTATCTATACTATGATTTCATTTAAACGGGCTAGCAGTTCTAAAACACTAAACAAATGTAAATTAATAATCAATTCAGACCAATGTCACTCATTCACACCAAGAAAACAATTTCTTCTCTGTCATTTAAAGATTGCATTATTTCTCCAAACTCTTCTAATGTTGAGGTTTCAATCCCATTATTTACAGCAGAGAACGCTGTCATTTCACTCCAAATACTTGAATACAATTCCCAAAACAGAGTATTCGTTTTCCAACCATTTTTAGCCTGGGTCATGTGTCATCAGTCCCCAAATTGATTTTATGCCTCTCATTTCTGGAGTTCCATTTTCTTTTCTCAATGATTTCAGGAAAACTCAAGATTGGGAAGGTGGATGTGAGTGGCTTGGCTAGGAAGAGTTGGAAGCATGTTTGCTAAGGTGACAGAAGTAGTGGTCACAGATAGGAGCTCTCATTCCTTGTGCTCTTTGAATGTTTCTTCTGAAGTCTTTCCTCCTTACTACTCTGTCGCAGCCGCCCCACTATAAACCTTTTACATGTATCTCCTCCCAGCATGAGTGATTATTTTTATTCCAGCACTTTCTCAAAATTCTTCCTCTGTAAGTTCTCCTTCCCATCATTCTTGACAAAAAAGTTCCTTGCCTTTACTCCAAGAACACAAATCTCTCTCTTTCTCTCTCTTTTTTTTTTTTTTTTTTGCTTTCAACATTTTCCTCGGATGGTGAAGCTCTTTTCTTTATTTCATATAAATTCCAGTTTCCCATCACTCTCAGTATTACTCCTAGTGTTGAACCTTTTCCTTGTTCCCCGAGCATTTTTATTTAGTTCCCCCCAAATCCTCACATGACAGAACTCTTACACACACACACTCACTCACACTTGCAGTCCAGTAATACAGTTCACTTTTCATTTAGTCCAGTCAAGGGTCCCTTTTCCAGCAGAGAACCCTCTCCTTCTTCATGTTCTTTGGATGTTCCCAGTATATAGCTCATCCCCTGGTCCTTTCGTCTATTCTTGTTTCATCAATATTTCTCTTCTGTTCTTTTTTCTCTGCTTATTCCTCTTTTCTCAATGTCTGTTTTTATACCTAATATACTATATGATCCAGAAAAGAGCCCCCATTATACATATGGGTCAAAATAAGAACTGAGAGGACCTGAAAGGGTGGGACAAATTGCTTGTTGTCCCATGGTTTGGGCATATGCCCCTCTTTCCCCCTACCAAGGGATCCCCCTCTATCCTCTCTCTTCAGCTCACCTCTTTCTAGATGTGTCTGGTTACACCTCCAGGTCCTATTGCCTCCAAAGCCATCTCTTTGATGGCCTGCCTTCTCTTTTTTCTGCCTTAGGACCATCCAATTCCGACAATCATACTAATCCTTTCTTCTTAAGATCATCCTACTGGCTTCTGGGCTCCCACCCTGGGCCCTTTTATCTTGTGGACATTTTCTCCCACCTTCCAGTTGCTGCTCTATCTTTTCCTTATGATCCCGCTTAGAAGATGCTATTCTGACTTCAGTTACTGCATCCTCCTGATCCAACTCGGTACAGAAAAGAAAACCACAGCGGAATCCCCAAAACCAAGACGCCAGGGCTAAAGGAGAAAAGAATAGGAAGACAGGCCCTACAGCAGTCTTTGGGGTCTGTAAGAGTGAGTAACCCTTTGGACAACGTCAGAAAGAGCCCAGAAACTGATAATCAAGAATTGCCTCTCCTGGCAAAGGACAAAAGCACTCTTGCATTCCCTTCTTGTCTCTGTTAAAGTCAGCCCCCACGCCTACTACGGTCATTTCCACCTCTAAGCTGGATGCAATGAATGGTGGAGCAGAGGCAGTTCCATCTTGATGCTAAAGATTGAAGCATCAAAGTCCCCACACTTGCAAGTGGTCCCTGTTTTTCTTAAATAGGCGCCACCAAATAGTATAAGCTTTGGATCTCAGAACACCTGAAGCTCTAGCCAGAAGAAAGCTTTTCTGGCTTCTAGGCGTTTAGGACCAATAGAGAGGTCAGGAGGGCTCTAATTGAACTGACTCTAAACAAGGTTCAGTTTAATACACCCTGCTTCTATGGAGAGGGCACCATTCATGGTGGGTCCAGGGCTCTTGAATCATCTGTCAGCTGAATCTTAGCTGGGTTCTGCACTCCAGTCTTTGGACCACACCCAACTCAGCCCAGCCTGTAGCCTCTCTCTTGGCATCCTAATCAGCACTTGTCCAGTGTGTGCTTGGCATCCTGTAGGTTCATGTTCTCTTTGGCACCCTACTCAGTTCTTCAAGGCTTAGCTCTGAATCTACCAATTCAGAAGTCACGGCCCCTGCATCCACAGAGCCTATCCCCACCCTTTAAGCTTTTCTGGTCAGTATGATCTCTTTAGAAGCCAGAATGTGCCCTCCAATGGTGAACTGAGAGCTGCCCCAACATACCCCCTTCTTGATGCCCCCAAAAATCCCCTCGTTGTAGCTTGTCTAACCCCGGCAGAGGAGAGGAAAAACAAAAGATGAAGGAATTCTGAAAAGGAACCGGGGCCAAGGTTTGATGGCTAGGATGCTGAGGGAAAGGCGCTAATGTGAAGGGGGCACTCACTGGAAAGTCTTCGGTTAGCCTCCAGGGCTACGGGGACAGAGCAGGGCAGGGGTTCTGGGACCTAAAGAAGCTGTATTTGGAACTGAATTGGAGCCAGAACCTGAGAGCGATCTAAAGGTCTGGGACTTCAAGGTCCAGGCAGGTGCCGAGGTTCTGAGCAGGTTCCTGTCCACAATTTCCAGGTGAACGGGCCTCCAGCCCGCCCTGGTCGGCCCCAGGACTTACCGGGCAGACTTGGAAAAGTCTCTGAGAAGTGCGAAGACGGAGGTGGTGGGGGCTCTGCCACTTTCTCCCGGGCCGGCAGCAGCTCCTCGGCTTCCAGCCCACCCTCTGGGCGTCGGCCGCCTGGCTCAGGGTTGTTTCGGGTGGCAGTGGCGGCGGCGGCAGCGGCGGCGGCGAGCTCCGGGGGCCCGTAGAAGGCGTCGGGAGGCTCCGCGAAGCTGGGCAGCGCGGTGGTCAGCGCCACCATTGAGGGCACAGCCTGACCCAGCCCCGCGCAGAAGGTGTTGGTAAGGCGGCCGGCGAAGGAGGCTAGCGGGGTGAGGGGCGGGAGACCTGCGGGCAGCGGCGCGGGGGCCAGCGCCTGCGGCAGCACTAGCGGCCGGTAGGGCATGAACATGGGGTAGCCGGTGTAGAGCAAGTGGCCAGATCGCGGCGGCGGCGGCCCGATCAGGGAGTCGATGGAGAAGGCAGTGCCTGGGCCCCCGCCGCCACCCCCGCCGTTCCCCCCGGGGGCGCCACCGCCTCCAGCCCGCTGCATCTTGTTCGGAGCTGCGGCCGCCCCGGGGCGCTCCCCTCCAGGTGCCTCCGTGCGCCCCGAGGCTCCGGCGCCCCGCGCTGACACGCAGGGCTCGCTCCCTGGCTCCCGGGCCGAGGTGGCGGCGGGGCGCGGGCTCGGCGCAGTGTGGCTCCGGCGCCGCGCTCCCTCTCTCTCATAAGGAGGGAGGGGGCGGGCGAGCAGGCGGGCTGGGGGTGTCGCCCTCCGGACTCATCCATCTTCCTCAAATTACGCTTCACTTCCTCCCTCCGCCCGCCGCCGCGCCCGGCTCCCGCTCCCTCCGCAGAGCCCGTTCCCAGCGGCCCGGCTGGCCGACCCGGGACCCCCGCCTACCCCCCACGGCCCAACCAACTATTATTAATGGAGATTGATGAGGCCGGACATGCCGCTTTGTGAAAGTTTGCGGCCGATGAGAAGGCGGCTGCAGCTGCTGGGCTGGTCCCCTTCCCTCCACCCAGTCCCTTTCCCTCCACTCATTCCACCCCCAACTCAACCCACCCAGCCCGGGCTCGGCCCGGCTCGGAGGGCGAGCGGGTGTTGGCCCAGGCTCCGACCGGACGGCGGAGCCAAGCGCAGATGGGACGCCGGGCGGCAGGCGGGGAAGGCGCACCAGGAGGGACAGGCAGCGGGGCCGGACCACAGCACCCCTCTGCCCTGGGCCGCCGCCCTCCGTCGGACCCTGAGTAATTCCCCGGAGTACCTCCCGGCTCCGACACCCCTCCCCCGCCCGTGGAGCTGACATCTTGGTGGTCCCCAAAGCAAGCTCCAGCGCGACGGGCGGGACAGCACCGCCGCCCCTTCCAGCGAAAGCGCAGGGCTGAGGGAGGCGAGACGGGGCCGGCAGGGGGCGCGCTGCACCCGCCGGGTACTGCGGCGTAGGGCCACTCTTACGGGGCCCCTTTCCTCCTGTCTGTCTGCCCCATTCGCACTCTGGCCTCTGGTCTCTATTCTCTTGGCATTGGCTCTTCACCTTCTTCCTTTTTCCCTCCTCCATCGCCAACTTCCCCTAGTCCCTTTCTGTCACCTCTGTGGGTAGTTTCCTCGAGTGCCCACACTATGCCAAGTACTTACCATTCCTCTCACCTTTCCCTTCCATCTTTCTCCCATCCTTCACATTCTTTTTCTTCCTCCCACTCCTCTTCCCTTTCCCGTCCTCGTTTCTATTCCTATTTCTGTCTGATATTTGTTTTCCATTTCTCATTCCTTATCCCAGTCCCTCTTACTTGGTTTTTCTCATTTCCCTCCTTTAACTGTATCTCTTGTCTGTCTATCTCCTGTCTCCCTCCCTCGCACTCTCTCCCTCTCTTCTGCTATTAATTTCCCTGATTGGCTCCCCAGCTCCAGCGCCGCTGATGAGCCCTATTCATTCCGGGGCCTGACACTCACGACCTGCCCTGGCTGATTGCTGGGGGCTGGCCCCAGGAGCGCTGATGAGCCCCAAGGGTCAGCAGCGCTAATTATCCGCTAATTGCAGATGACTCTCACCTCCCCCCTTCTGAGACACAGAAATGGTGGCGCCTTTTACTGTTCTCCTCCTACTCCCAATTCCCAGCAGTAGAGTTGTCAATCTAGAGGCAAAAGTCACAGACACTTTGGCTTGATAGCCACCTCAGGTCAGTGGGCAAGAAAGAGACTTAAGACAGGCAAGTCAACAGAAGAGTGACCCAAGCTTCAGGACACAGAGCCAGCCTGGCTAGCTACAGTGAGTGTCATCTGGTCACAAGAAAATTGTTATTCAGGCAAGGGTAGGGAGAGCCAAGCTAGTTAAAATTAATAACAGCAAAACCAGGCAAGTTTAGGAAAAGGCAGTCTAGGTAGGAGAAGTTATTTGGGTCCGGCAAGAAGGAAAATCTACACGAGTCACAGTGTTGCCTTGCCAAGACAGAGCATACCAGGAGGGATCTCTGGATTTCAGTGACATTTTGTTCCATCAGGAATGTTGTGTGAGCCTAGTGAACACTGTTAATGTCAGGCTGATGGATTTAAATCAGTACTTTGAAACACACTGTCACCAGGGTGGACTGAGGAAGGGAACAGGACTCAAGAATTGAGAGTTTTTTGGTTATGCCTTAACTGACAATTCATCAGAGGTGAACAGAGAAGAGTGTCATTTCCATGCAGTCTTGATCTACCTTGGGTACCACATTAAGCTCAGTGAAATTTCTAAGAAACGAGTATGGTGTAAGATGTCATGATGGAGAAAGAAGAGGTGCCTTAGCTTAGGTCTGGGAACTCCAACTCACTACTAAAGGACCTGTCTAAAGATATTCTTTAGAACGCCCCTTTGTTGAATTAACCAAGCACTTTACCATACCAACATGAAAACCAAGCTTCAAAAGTATGTTGTATTTTTAAAGTGAGAGGGCTTAACATTTTTGGATATATAAGAGGCTTATTGACTTGATAAATTATTGAGGCAACTTTCAGACACAATAACTGAAATTAAACCTGTATGAGCAGTTAGTTACAGGACGAATTAAATAAGGCAAGAAGGAAGAGCCATTTTTAAAAGTAATTGCATTCATTTATTGTATAGGTAATGAAATCACATAGAACAAAATTCCAAAAGCTCGAAAGGATATATATTGAAACATCTCTCTTCTACCAATATCTTCAATAAAAGGCCACTTTAAGAAGCCTGTCACTTTCTGGTGTGTCAAGGACTTAAGGTTAAAAGACTCTCTGATTGTATTAGCCAAGCATGGTGGCACACACTTGTAGCCCTAGCTACTTGGGAGCAGAGGCAGAAGGATTGCTTGAGCCCAGGAGTTGGAGGTTAGAGTGAGTTATAATCGCACCACTGTACTCCAGATTGGGTGACAGAGGGAGACGCTATCTCTAAAAAATGTTTTAAAGACCCCCTGGGCCAGGCACAGTGGTTCATGCCTGTAATCCCAGCACTTTGGGAGGCCAAGGTGGGTGGATCACCTGAGGTCAGGAGTTCAAAACCAGCCTGACCAACATGGTGAAACCCCGACTATACTAAAAATACAAAAAAATTAGCTGGACATGGTGGCGCGTGCCTGTAGTCCCAGCTACTCAGGAGGCTGAGGCAGGAGAATTGCCTGAACCCAGGAGGCGGAGGTTGCAGTGAGCCGAGATCGTGCCATTGCACTCCAGCCTGGGTAACAAGAGTGAAACTCCGTCTCAAAAAAAAAAAAAGGTACAAAATTAGCTGGGCGTGGTGGTACATGCCTGTAATCACAGCTAAGGCTGAGGCAGGAGACTTGCTTGAACCTGGGAGGTGGAAGTTATGGTGAGCCAAGATTGCACCACCGCACTCCAGACTGGGCAACAAGAGCGAAAAACTCCATCTCAAAAAATAAATAAAATAAAGATGCTCTGATCTTGAAGATGTATGTCACCCAGTTCAAGCCAAGAGCTTATTGCTTCGAACTATACTCAGTAAAGTGGATTCTCTACTCAAGCTGGCACAGGAAGTTCATACTTAAAGCTTAGTGCCAATAAATCCCAGTGGCCCACCAATTCTGAACAGAGGCAAGTAAGACCTCAAGTACTTCTGTTGACCTGGTGTGGTGTTTGTCCGATACTGTATTTCATAACCCATTTAATCCTCTATCTGTTTCCTTGCCATGCTAGAGACACAAAGTGTGACTTTGTGAAGTCCTTAACATACAGTAACATTGGCATACATAGTGGCAACTGCAGCAACCCACTTCATTTCCCTGCCCTTTCATAGAACATAAAACTGAGGCCATGTGGTAAGTGGAAAGAAGCATTGGCTAAAGTAAAAAGACCTGGAGTCAAATTCCTGTTCTGACCCCTCACTGGCTCTGTGACCTTGACCCCTCTTGGACATCTCTATCTGTGAGGGAGAGTGATAAACATCTACTCTGACTGGATATAGTGATTTACGTCTGTAATCCTGACAATTTGGAAGGCCGAGGTGAACCACTTGAGACCAGGAGTTCAAGGTCGGCCTGGACAATATGGTGAGACCCTGTCTCTACAAAAAAATTTGAAAATTGGCCAGGCATGGTGGCACATGCCTGTAGTCCTAGCTACTCCAGAGACTGAGGTAGGAGGATCACTTGAGCTGGGGAGGTTGAGGCTTCAGTGTGCAGAGATTGTGTCGTTGCACTCTAGCTTGGGTGATAGAGCAGGACCCTGTCTTAGAAATAATAATAGGCCGGTGTGGTAGCTCACACCTCTAATCCCAGCACTTTGGGAGGCCAAGGCGGGCAGATCACCTGAGGTCAGGAGTTCGAGATCAGTCTGGCTAATGTGATGAAACCCTGTCTCTATTAAAAATACAAACAATTAGCCTGGTGTGGTGGCATGTGCCTGTAATCCCAGCTACTCTAGAGGCTGAGGCAGGAGAATTGCTTGAACCCAGGAAGTGGAGGTTGCAGTGTGCCGAGATCGCACCATTGCACTCCAGCTTTGGTGACAAAAGGGAAACTCTGTCTCAAAAATGAAAAGAAAAAGAAATAACAATAGCAACAACAAAGACTTTGCCTAGTCAAAAAGCAAGGGCAAGGGTCAAGTGAATATGAAAAAACACCCTCCAAAATGAGCTCTTCCTGTACTAAATAGACAAAGACTGCCCAAGAAGGGAAGAGACTCATTTTCCCTGAAATCCAGAGCACTCCAAAAACTACTTCTTACTCTCTCATCAGTACTGAGTACAGACTTTGTCTCTGTCAAATCTGAACAGAGCTAGCTCCTTTCTTTATCAGTGAAAAACTATGGTTCTCATACTGAATTCCTGAACAGACCCATTATAGGCACATACCTGGTCTCATTGTCCAAAACAGAATTCTAAAAGTGCTGCTTTGTTTGTCCGTGTTCTCTGACATTTGGGAAATGCTCCTACAGAGAAATTTTATCTTTAATCTACCCTCTGTATGCCCGCCATGGTCTCCTCATCTAGCCTGACCTGGGTTTCATGTGTTGCCAACCAGCACCAAGGATGCTAAGAAAGAACAACGTATTCAACTCAGGGCCAACAAATATACACCTCCAACCCACTCATTGGCTGGAGAAAGTCCTCTCACGGTGGGCAGCATCGGGCCTGGCCGCTGGTACCCTCTGGTGGCAGCAGCGCACAACTGCGGGCACCGAGAAGGCGGTGTAGGTGCTGCAGCGCCCCCTGGCGATAGTCCAGGAGACGCGCCGAGGGCAAAGAAACCACCAACTGAGCATCCAAGGGCGAGCGCGAGACGCCTCTGGGTGCTAAACTGTGAATGCACTAGTTGTAGAGAGGGGGTTGTACATGAGTGTCTTAACGTCTAGTGTGCATGAGTGTAGGATTAAGTATGTTTAGTGTGCCCTGGTATCCGAGCCCTGTATGTCTGTTGTGTTAAATGTGTGCCGTATGTGTGAGCCCACGAGTTCACACGCGGGTAGGTTGGTAGTGGGGAGATCCGTGCCTCCAGTGCAGGGCGGAGTCCTCACGGAGGCGTGAAATTGGTTTGGAGCAAACACATTACGAAAAGCAATTACCAGGGAGAGGTTCTGGGCCCGCGGGACCAACAGCCAGGAGGCTGGGGAGGAAGCGCCCTGGCTCACAAGAGTCTGCATGTCTAACCCCAGGAAGGACCCTCCTGACATTGCCCCGCTAAGGGGACAACATGTGAAGCTGCACACAGCCCCTTCACAGCCACCACTCCACGTGGCCTTTCTTCCCTCCCCCATCCTTAAAAAGGCATCCCATGATCACTGGCTCTCCAGATGTGGCCAGGAATCCTCCCCACTCTTCCTATCACTTTAGAGGAGGATCCTCCTTCTGGGATGCCCTCCCAGATCCCAACCCCATTCCTCGCCCTCCTCTTCACGCCCCCAGCTCCTGATCCCACGTTTATCTTGCATTCATCCTATTGCCCCTGTATTCTAAAAGGTTGTTCACACGCTTGTTTCTCAGACTAAAGATTCACTGAGGGCAGGAGCACGTCTCGTTCCAAGCAGTGCATGGAGCACCTGAAACCTGGGGCCCCGGAAGGACTCAATGAACCAAGTAGATGCGATCGAATAGAATTTCCATCAAAATCCACCAACAGGACTCTCTCAGCCAAGTCATCCCCGGGAGTCGGGATTTCCTGGGAGCAGAGCTCTGAACTCTTTCCCGCGCCAGCGAGCCGGCACTTGCAAGTTGCCCAGCCTTGCGCTCGGCCCGGCCCCAGATTCCCAGAACCCCACGCCTGGGGCCACAGCCGCTGAAATGCTTCCTAGGCGGCTCCATTGCCATCTCCCTAACAACGTTCTTTTGCTTCCGGGTCCTTCCTCGTCTTCTCCACCTTAGCATCTGGCACCACCGTCCATCCAGGGGTCCAAGCCAAAAACCAGGCAGTTGCCCTAGACAGCGCTCTTCTGCAGCTCCCCACATCCACGTCAGCGCCCCCGCCCCACATTTCTCCCCAGGGATCCTGAATCTCACCCCCTACGACCGCCTCTGGCCTAGACCACCGCCGCAGGTGCGCCCCCCCACCACCAACGCGCGCAGTCAGGGCGGTCCGTGCTGCCACCCCTGCTGATCCGCTCCACTCAGGTCTCAGGCTAAATGTCACCTCCTCAGAGAGCAGGTTTCCCTGTCACCGGATTTAAAATAGTTCGCACTGCCAAACCCGGGCCCCGTACGTCTCTCCCCGAGATCGGCAGCAGCTGCTGCTTCCTCCTCCGCGCCGCGGCTCTGGCTCCCCAGCGCAAGCGGACCCCTGGGGGGCCTGGAGGGCCGGCCTTGCCCCCCGCGCGGCGTTGTCTGAACGCAGCAGGCCCCCCGAAACGGCTGTGGAACAAACCATCGAGGACTAGGACGTCCCCCAGACCCCCACCCGAACCGCGGTCTCCGTGGGGCGCCCCGCAGGCCCTTCACAGGAGTGGGCCTCGGGCACCAGCTTCCCGCGAACGCGCCTGGACTCGGGGCAGCTGCTTCCTGCCCTCGACCTTCACTCGCGAGGTGGGGCCGGTGGGATCCGGGCCCGCCTGGGGTTTCCACAGCGAGGGGCCTCCACCGCTTGCCCACCCGCACCCGTGTCCCCAAGCCGCGCCCCAGCACCTGAAGCCGGACAGGCCGGTCAGCCCAAGGTCGGTGAGGCCAGGGTGGGAATCCGGGCCATCTCATTTCTTCTCCGCTTCTCCTCAACCACCTTCTCGACGCCAAACCAGGTTTCTCGCCCTCCCGGCCCCGCCCACTGCACTTCGCACCCTCCCGGCCCCGCCCACTGCACTTCGCACCCTCCCGGCCCCGCCCTTCATCCCCTTCATCGCGTTGCTTGCGCCGGTTGGCGGGAAAAGTCGCGAGCTCCTGCGCAGGCGCACTTTGGCGCCTGGGGGAATTCTGGACAGCGACCCTTGACCTCAAGGACCACCGTGGACTTGATTGGCTGCTCTGTCCCGACCACCTGCCCTCCGCCTGCCGTTGCAGGCAGCTCCTGGCTGCTGGGGCCTCCGGCAAGGTTCTGAAAATCCTGATACTGCAATAACCCCTCAGGGACTCCACCTTCCTTTTTACAGATGCAGAAACGTGAGCCCAGAGAGGGAAGAGACTTACATTCCACGAATTAATGGCAGTTAACTGGATCATGTAACTTTCAGCACAGCTCTTTTGCGGCCACAGATCTAAATTTAAGGAAGGAGTAGATAAAAGAGGCCGGAACCCGGCGTGCTTTGATGCTCCCTGACCTACCGTGTCAGGCAATAGGCAGAACTGATTGTGTTTTTCTGAACCTGGGCCTTTCGCTGTCACCTGAGCCATGGCTACCCTCCGCGATGGGCCATCCCACGTGCCCCTCCTTCTGGGTGGCTCTCCTGCCTCCTCACCTCCCTACCCCAAGGCTTCCTGTGCCTTCCTGCCTAACTGCGCTGCCTCCATGTGCACCCCGCACCTCCTTTAGGCCTTTCCTAACGCGCTGTCACCTGCTGGCCATTCTGTCATTTCACGAAGCTGGCAAGCCTGGGACGCCTTAACAGCTGGCTGATGCCAAAGGGGAAGATGATGCAGCTGGCACCATGGGGCAGTCAGGGAGCGCCTGTCAGACTGCCCATACTGACTCCCCTGCAAAGGAGCCGGTTCAGAGTAAGGTCTGTTGGAGACAGCACTAAACACAGACCTGGAGAATTTTAATGCACATACAGGGTTTGCACAGGCTAGAAGGGGGCCTGGGAGAGCCCCGACAGGAGTGTGTCTTCATCAGGCATCACCTGGCTGTCGTGGTGGGTCCACCTCTGTGCATGGAGAATCCTCCAGCCTGTGGAGCTGGGCCTCCTGCTGCCAGGGCTACCTGGCCTGAGTTGGTGCAGAGGAGCGCCCTCTGCAGGCTGGGGCATCTGCTTTCAGGCCCTCTCAAAAGGCTGTGGACATCTGGAAGGAGAGGTTCGGATTCAGAGGCTTCTGGTGCCGGTTCTGGCCAGGGCCCTCCCCAGTGCTTCTCTTTCCTCCCACCCATCTCTGGACCCCCCCAAGCAGCTGTGACCACTCATAGATCCCAGGGCTCACCTAGTAGAGCACGTCCTCAAAATCCAGCTGCAGGTAGCGGAGCAGGCATGGTGGCAGGGGGAGGCGGAGCAGTGCATGGGGCAGGCTGCCTTCCAGGTGGGAGCGGAGCGCACAGCGGCTCAGATGCTGCAGCGACCTGGGCTGCCTCACCAAGTCAAAGAGGGAGGAGTAGAAACGCTGATGTTTCTGGGGACAGAACAAGGGCTCAGCGATGGGCAGCCTTGGACAGATGGCACTGGCTCCTCCTTACAGGGTAGGCTGGTGAGGGGTGGGACATCTACCAGAACCTCTTAAAAAACAATGAATGTTTGGGGGTTCACTCCAAAAGTTCTCTTTCTGGGACGTAAGTTTGTCTTTGGGTACTTTCTGTGGGGGGGCGGGCTGCGGTTTAGGGGCCAGGCTGGAAGCTGTATGTTCAGGGTCCTGGAATCTGACCTGCAGAGTTTCAGGAGACACCAGGCCCACAGCCTCCTCCGGAAGCTGCACGGTGCTGTAGGTGTTCATCAGGACCTCGATGGCCCGAGGGCACGTGCTCCAGCGCTCCAGGACCTGCAGGAGGCAGAGACATGTAGAGTATCCAGTCAGTCCACACAGAGTGACCAGAGAGCTACAGAATAGTTGCTGTGGGTTGAACTTTGTTCCCCAAAAGATATATTGAAAACCTCACCCCCTGTACCTATGAATGGGACCTTATTTGGAAATAGGGCCTTTACAAATGTAATCATGTTAAAATGAGGTCATTAGGGTGGGCCTCATTCAATATGACTGGTGTTCTTATACAGAGGCACAGACACCTACAGAGACTAGAAGGCCATGTGACAACAAAGGCAGACAGTGGAGTGACCTGTGTACAAGCCAAAGGACACTGAGGATTGTGCGGAACCACTGGAAGCTACAAGAGCGCCATGGAAGGCCGGGCGCGGTGGCTCACGCCTATAATCCCAGCACTTTGGGAGGCCGAGGCGGGTGGATCATGAGGTCAAGAGATCAAGACCATCTTGGTCAACAAAGTGAAACTAAAGTCTCTACTAAAAATACAAAAATTAGCTGGGCATGGTGGTGCGCACCTGTAGTCCCAGCGACTTGGGAGGCTGAGGCAGGAGAATTGCTTGAACCCAGGAGGTGGAGGTTGCGGTGAGCCGAGATTGCGCCATTGCACTCCAGCCTGGAGTGCAAGAAAAAAAAAAAAAAACAGCGCCATGGAACAGATTCTCCCTCAGAGGCTCCAGAAGGAGCCAGCATTGCCAACCCCTGTATTTCAAACTTCCAGCCTCCATTGCTATAAGGGATTTCACTTCTTTTGCTTTAAGATACCGAGTCTGTGGTGTTTCGTTTGATCCAGGAAGCCAGTACGGTAGCTGACCTTTCTATTGCGTAACTCAGGCCAGATACTTTTCCTAGCACTTTACATGTATGAACTCTTCACTGTCCTCCCTCCAAGGGATGGACTGCTATACTTTTAATTAATTTATTTATTTTGAGACCAAGTCTCGCTCTGTTGCCCAGGCTGGAGTACAGTGGCATGATCTCAGCTCACTGCAGCCTCTGCCTCCTGTGTTCAAGTGATTCTCCTGCCTCAGCCTCCTGAGTAGCTGGGACTACAGGTGCGCCATCACACCCGACTAATCTTTTGTATTTTTAGTAGTGACAGGGTTTCACTGTGTTAACCAGGATGGTCTTGATCTCCTGCCCTCATGATCTACCCACCTCAGCCTCCCAAAGTGCTGAGATTACAGGCATGAGCCACCGCGCCTGGCCGGAGTGGACAGTTAATATCCCTGTGTTATTATCCAGTTTCCTTCTTTACAGCCAAGGGAAACTGAGACACAGAGAAGTTAATTAACTTGCCCAAGTTGTGGTTTCCATGGTCCAGGCCTGGCAGTGCAGCCCCTTGTCCTTAACCACAGCCCCATCCTACTCTCATCTCTGCCTCTACAAGGTCCTGGGCTGGGTTTTCTGCTGGCTGGGCCTCCCCAACCTGTGGCTGGAGCTCCTGAGCAGATAAAAAGACCACAGAATCCATCCAATGTCAAGTGAGGGTAGAGATGGCCACAAGAAGGGGCCAGGGAGTGGGGTGGCTCTGGGTGGTCAAGGAGGGGCTCACAGAGGGAGGACTGGGTTCTTGAGGCAAGGGAACCCCGGAGCCAGGTGTGCACTCAGGGAGAAGGGACAAGGCAGCCAGTGGCTGTTGGACTGCCCGCAGCCGCAGGAGAGGATGTGGTAGGAGCAGGGATGGGATCTAGTTCGAGCCAGATTTATGCTTTCATTGCTTCATTCAGCAATATTTATTGAAGGCCTACTATGTGTCAAGGGCTAGTGGGGAAAATAGTCTTCGTCATCCAAGAGCTTCTATTTCAGAAGGAAACATAAAAAACACAGAAGTCATCACTCTCAGATCTGCTGCTGCAGTGAAAGATAAGCAGGGGCCAGGAGCAGGAGCTCGTGTCTGTAATCCCAGCGCTTTGGGAGGCTGAGGCGGGCGGATCACTTGACGTCAAGAGTTTGAAACCAGCCTGGCCAACAAGATGAAACACCATCTCTACTAAAAATACAAAAATTAGCTGGGTGGTAGTGGTGTGTACCTGTAGTCCCCGCTACTCAGGAGGCTGAGGCAGGAGAATTGCTTGAACCTGGGAGGCAAAAGTTGCAGTGAGCTGAAACTGCACCACTGCACTCCAGCCTGGGTGACAGAGTGAAACCCTGATGTGGCGAGCAGGCAAGCCATGTGGTGGAGCAGCCTGTGGACAGTTAGAAAGGTGGCCTGACAGACACTGGCACCATGACGCCTGCTCATGCCTGAACTCGGTACCTGAAGCAGATTCATGCCTCCTCCGCTGCACTCCACTCTCGCTGCATATCTAGAGGCTGTGGTCACAGAACCTTTGTAAGATCTGAAAACAGCTAAGTACCATCTTTCAAGCAGTATCTCAACACAACACACATGTGCCCAGACATAAATTGCATCTGACAGTGGGGGCTTGGCAGCTTCTGCCTGCAAAGAAAGGAGACCCTTCTGCTCATCAGATGACAGTATTGATGATCAGTGGGAGCAGAAGGCCTGGCCTTCCAGGGGTCCCTGGAGAAAGCATTTTACACATCCAGGCCCTCTGCTTCTAGCCCTGCATCTGAGCAGTGCTCACCAGCCTGTCCCAGGAAGCCTCTTTTCCTCACTCCTCCTCGGAGCTAGGGAAAAGCAGGCTGGTTCCCTCTGACTCTCCTCTCCAGCTGCCCCTTGGGCCCATGTTGATCCCCAGCTCTGCACTGGGCTCAAGCAGCCCACCCTTCCTGGAATGCCTGCCTCTTTCTCCTCCCTCCCTCCAAACTGCCCATCCCAGTCCTGCCTCCAGGAAGCCCATGCAGCTACACCAACCTGCTTTGCACTCTCCCACGTCCAGTGATACCCTCATTGGGATGATGCCAATCAGCTTACCAAGTGCTTTCTCATCCATTACATAACGAGAACAACACTAGCTACCAAGTGTTAAACACCAGGCTTGATGTGTATTAACTCTTCTCACACGAATCCTATGAAGAAAGCATCATGTCATATCCCTATGTTACAGATGAGGAAATTGAGGCCTAGGGAGATTCAGCAACTTGCCGAAAGTCACACAGGGAGTGTGTCTGGCTCCAGAGCCTGCACAACTGGTCACCACTGACCTCAGAGGTTACTGGGAGGACTGAGGAACTCCTGTAACAGGAAATACAGCTTATAGCAGTGCCTGGTGTGTAGTCAGGGCTGTGCTTGCTCCGACTGTTCCCCAGTCCTCTCCTACAGCTTTCCACCCTGTTTGGGAGAGGCTGTATCACATGCAGTGAGTTGCCTACAGCCACAAGAAAAAGCATCAAAGTCACATCCAGGATCCAGGTCCCCTGAGTACAAAGTCCAAAGTGGTGGCTCCTAGAGAACCAGTGGGGGCTGGCATCTCATCACAGATGGGCAGTGGAGGCTTCTGTTCAGGGAGGACAGAAACCCCTCAGCCAAGGCTGGCAGGGCTGCAGATCATGGAAAGGGACAAATGGGGTACTTTGCTCTGCCAGCCCCTTTGGTCCCAGAGACAGGCTGAGGGGTGGAGCAGGGCTGTGGGGTCCCAGGAAATCCTTTCGCTGTGCTGGGCCCTCCTCCCGCCCCTGCCTGCCTGCCGGGGAAAATCATTAGCTGTCAGAGCTGCCGTCAGATTACAGGGAATTGCTTGTCTCCTAATTATCTAGTGTTAATAGGAGATTAATTAGTGTTAATTGTTGATTTTCTCGTATTTTCCCAAAGGGGAGACCAATCTGCCGAACTCTCAGGCTGTTTAATTATTTGGTCTTGCTTAGGAATCCAGACAGATGCTTCCAGGTTTGTGAGCAAAGGGGAGAGGCTGGGATAGCAGGGGTGGCCCCTGCAGGACAGGCAAGGCTGGGTGGGACAAGACCCTGGATGGGGCCAGAGGGGACCTGCTTACTCAGAGGGTGGTTTCAGTCTGACCCATCTCCTCTGAGAACGGATGTCCCCATCCCAGGCCCTCCGTGACATTATCTACCCCCTCCAGACACGACACAGCATGGGGCAAGGCCCCTCCCAGGGCATCAGTAGCACAGGTCTTCAAGTCAAACCCACTTAGGGAAAATTAAGATAAAGTAGGACATAAATTGAAATTGACAGTGAAAGGCATTTTCACAGGTGCCAGGAGAGTGGCACCTGTGGGTCCTGCTAGATTCTCAGAAAGTGGGACCGTGTCCATTTGCTGATGTTCAGGGGACCGTGAGCCTCCTGAAACAGGTTTACCCTCTTCCCTTGGAGAGTCTCTCCTGCATCTGTCACTGAACTGATCCCACTGCTAAGTGGGAGCTTCCTCAAATGCTATTTTCACTGGTTTGCTGTGCTGATGGAGACCCCTAAGCAATGCCTGCCACCCACATGAGCCCTGACCCCTTCCTTCTTTTTGGATCCTTTATTATCTGGCCCCACTGCTCTCAGTCCACCTTCCTCACCCATGCACAGTATATATATGCACATATGTGCATAAATACATGTACACACATACACATATGTGCATGAACCCATGTACACACATGCACACACACATGCACACACACACATTTCCCACTGATCTGTCTTCACCTTTACCCCTATTTGGGCTTTGCTTACATGCTGAATGAAAGACAGAAGGAACTATGTGCACAGGTGTTCCAGGCCACATTCCAAAGCAAGCTGGAGCACAGGCCTAGGTCTCCCTGTCCCCTCACCATTGGTGGCCCTCCTGCTGCCTGTAGTCCCCCATACCTTGGGGAGGGCCCCTGGCCAAAAGCGGACTGCGCCGTGGTTGAGCAGAGCCCGAACCGCTTGCTCAGGGCTCTGGGCCAGGGCTGCAGCTGGGCCCTGCAGAGCACAGTGCAGGGGCGTGTGTCCCCCATAGTCCATGGCATTGGCGCTGACGCCACAGGACAGAAGCAGCTCCACGACAGCTGCATGGCCACGGCGACAGGCCAGGTGCAGGGGTCGCTGCCTGTCCTGGTCGGCAGCATCGGCATCTGCTCCAGCTGAAAGCAGCAGGCTGCACATCTGCAGGCAGCGGGCGGTGGTGGCCTCTGCATCAGCAGTGGACTGGCAGCGGGCATCACAGGCAGCCAGCAGTGGAGTCCAGCCTTGGGCATCACGGGCATCAGGACATGCCCCCCGTCTTAGAAGCAGGTCTGCCAGCTCCACATGGCCAAGCCGGGCAGCCACATGCAAAGGGGTCTCCTCTTCCTCCTCGGACCGACCATCCACTCTCGCTCCAAACCTGAGGAGCAGCTCTGCACACCTATTGCGGGGAGATGGTAGTGAGAGGAAAGCTGGCACAGACCCCCGGCAGGAACAGTTGGATGGCTCTTGCTTCTGTCTCCCCCTACCCACCCTCCATCCTGCCCATCACTGGTCATCCTGGCACCATTCTGCAAGATCAACAGTGCCATTTTGTTTTTTTTTTTTTTTGAGACTGAGTCTTATTCTATCACCCAGGCTGAAGTGCAGTGTCATGATCTCGGCTCACTGCAACCTCCGCCTCCCGGATTCAAGCGATTCTCCTGCCTCAGCCTCCTGAGTAGCTGGGATTACAGGCACCTGCCACCATGATGGCTAATTTTTTGTGTATTTAATAGAGATGGGTTTTCACCATGTTGGCCAGGCTGGTTTTGAACTCCTGACCTCAAGCGACCCACCCTCCTCGGCCTCCAAAAGTACTGGAATTTCAGGCATGAGCCACTGCACCCAGCCAATGGTGTCCTTCTTTAAAATCCAAATACTTCTTGTTGGGATAATCCACTAAATCGTCAGTGCAAATAAAAGTCACCAACAGTTATCATATGAGCAATTAGAACAAGTGCCTGCCAAGGGCTTTACATGTATTTGCCAATTTCATCCTCACTACCTTCCCTTGGGAGGCTCTCTTACGACTCTCATGTCATAGAGGAAGAAACTGAGGTTTGAGGATCTCATGCAAGTTGACACGGCTAGTAGTGGGAGGGTTGCTGTTTGGGTCCAGGGCAGCAGGACTGCTGGGGGCTCTGCATTCTGGGACTGGAGGAGGAAGGTGGCTTGGGGCCCAGCTGTGGGCACACATGGGGATGGGGCAGTGGGACAAAGAACAAGATTGATTGGCCGGGCGAGGTGGCTTATGCCTGTAATCCCAGCACTTTGGGAGGCCGAGGCAGGCAGATCACCTGAGGTCAGGAGTTTGAGACCAGCCTGGCCAACATGGTGAAACCCCATCTCTACTAAAAATACAAAAAATTAGCCTGGTATAGTGGTGGATGCCTGTAATCCCAGCCACTTGGGAGGCTGAGGCAGGAGAATAGCTTGAACCTGGGAGGCAGAGGCTTCAGTGAGCCAAGATCATGTCACTACACTCCTCCAGCCTGGGCGACAGAGTGAGACTTCGACTCAAAAAAAAAAAAAAAAAAAAAAAAGACCAAAATTGGCCAAGTGGATTTGCTCCAAGACAGTAAGAAGCACAGGGAGTCACAGCAATGTGTGTGCTTCACTTCAGGACTAAGGGAACTTGGCCTCTCTGAGATCCAGTTCCCTCTTGTGCAGAATGGGGATAATTAATAACACCCAGACCTTCGGAGGTGGTTGTGAGCAGCACGTGAAACAAGGCCCGGAAACCTGTCATCGTAAGAGCTCAAAACGAGGATATTCGGCAGGGGGAGCAGGTGGTATAGACAGTGATGGATTTGGGGGCTCACTTTATTATCCTGTCTGCCTTTCTATATGTTTCAGAGTCTCCATAATAATTTCAAAATACATTTGTTTACTCAAAAAGGAAGGAAGAATTCTCACTGGGTGTGATCTCAGGGAGGCTGGTGGGATGATGTGGAGCCTCACTATCCAGTGGTAGCTACCAGCCACCTGTGGCTATCGAGTTCTTGAAATGTGGCTAATCCTGAGATGTGCTGTGTTCTATGCATGCCTTTTTTTCCCTTCAGAAACAGAGCCAGGTAGATGCAGTGGAGAATCTACTTTAGCCCAGAAGTTTAAGACTTGCCTGGGCAACAAAGTGAGACCTGTCTCCACAAAAAATTAGCTGGGCATGATGGTGTGGGCCTGTAGAAGTCTCAGCTACTCTGTAGGCTGAAGTGAGAGGATTGCTTGAGCCCAGGAATTTGAAGCTACAGTGAGCTATGATTGCTCCACTGCCCCTCAAGACTGGGTGACTGAGAGAGGGATCCTATCTCACTCATTCTCTCTATTTTTTTTTTTTTTTTTTTTTTTTTGAGATAGGGTCTCTCTCTGTCATCCAGGCTAGAGTACAGTGGTGCAGTCTCCACTCACTGCAATCCCACAGGCTCAAGTGATCCTCCCGCCTCAACCTCCTGAGTAGCTAAGATTACAGGCATGCGCCACCATGCCCGAGTAACTTTTGTGGGGTTTTTGTTTTTATTTGTTTGTTTTGAGACAGAGTTTCCCTTTTTCGCCCAGGCTGGAGTGCAGTGGCACAATCTCAGCCTCCCAGGTTCAAGAGATTCTCCTGCCTTAGCCTCCCGAGTAGCTGGGATTACAGGCGCCTGCCACCACACCTGGCTAATTTTTGTATTTTTAGTGGAGACGGGGGTTTTACCACGTTGGCCAGGCTGGTCATGAACTCCTGACCTCAGGTGATCCACCTGGCTCAGCCTCCCAATATGCTGGGATTACAGGCGTGAGCCACTGTGCCCAGTCATTTGTCATTTTTTGATAGGGCTGCTAGAACATTCTAAATTGCATATGTGGCTCAGATGAGGTTTCCAATGGGACACACTAGTAAAGAACACATCTGCAACCATAGTATAATTATGTCTATAGAATCCTCTAGAGGCTGATGAGGTTAACAAGAAGGAGGGGGTCCATGAAAGGAGAACCCCAAGGTCAATCATTTGGCACCTTTCAGAGGCAAGAGGAAAGACCCACAGGTGTGCAGTCAATAGAGAGAGGGTGTCTATAGTAGGGGGAGTTAGTTCACACCATTGTAATTGGGATCCCATCCTTCCAGGTCCCTTCCACATGGGTTGCAATTATTTATGTGACTATTCCCTACAATAAATGATACATTGGCACATTTGGGTGTATTCATTCATTTCTTGGGAGTTTAGTTAGTGAGAGTCCCTTTAGCCCATGATCTGAGAGTGCTCTATCAATATGGAGATTCTAGACCTGTCCTGGAGAACCAGACCCAGCCCAGAGGAACCCCAGCAGGTCCTCACTGGGCCACCATCCTCTACTCCCTGTCTGGATCAATGGACAGTAAGCTCCCTGAAGGCAGGGCCATGACTTAGTTGCTGTTGTACTTAGTACAGTGCCTGGAACATAGAATAAGCTCAGAAAGCGTTTAAAAGAAACGTCAAGCACCACCACCTCCCGTAATGAAGCCAGGCAATTTCCCAGCAGGCCATGCAACTGCACCCTGGCCGCAGCCTCCCTCCACCCTTGGGAGACCAGAACACTGCCCAAAGTCCAGGCCACTACAAAGTTCATGGGGTTAATGAGTGGATGGCTTGGGAAGTAATTGCACCCTGACCTGAACCCCAAGCCTGGACTGCTCTACCCCAGATCCCCGACATTTTCCCCCATCCTCCCTGAGAAGGCCTCGTTGCCTCCCCTCAGAGTGGAACTGGGGGTTGCGGTGAGGGGGTCACTCACTCAAGGGTGCCAGGCCCCCGGCAGAGATGCAGGGGGTGTTTCCCATCCTGGTCAGCGATGTTGGGGTCAGCTCCCGCCACCAGCAGCACATGGACACAGGCACTGTGGCCTGCAGCACAGGCCTCGTGCAGGGCAGTGCGGCCCCCAGGGGCACTGTCTGGCCTTGCCCGCCGCCTCAGCAGCAGCCGCAGGACTTCGGTGTGGCCACGGCTGGCTGCCACATGCAGTGGGGTGGTCAGCTCCTCTTCATACGTCAGAGACCAGAGTCCTGGGGGGCGGGAGGCATGGGCCTTAGATCCCCAGGGAAGGCAAAGACCTGCCAGCCAATGGGGTGAGGTGGCCAGAGGCAGGAAGAGGGAGCCCAGAGCTCCATCTGCAGCCTCCCTTCTCTCCCACTGAGACCCCCCAGTGCCCTGGCCCGTACTCAGAGCACGGATGTTGAAGCGGAAATCCCTCCATCGCTCTGGGTCGCTGGTATCAAAGATGGAATCAGGAGCCAGGCCAGTACTGGAGTCTGCAAGGATATGGGAGACACAGCCCACATCCCCAGCCAGCACTGCCTGCCAGAAGGCAAGGGCAGGTCCTGAGGCCGTGCGGGTGACGATGGGTCCCGGGCCAGACTTGGGGTGCTCCTCAGACCCTCTGCTGGGCTTCTCCACCAGCCTGGCACAGAGGGGGTGTCTGTCATCGGGGGGCTCTCCCTGCCCCTTGCACTCTTCTGGAGACCAACTCATGAGCATGCGGGCAGGGAGAGGGGAGTAGGGAGGAGAGGTAGATGCCAAAGGTAGAGAGAGGGAGAGCAGGAGGGAAATACCGACAGACAGAGGCAGACAGCCCCTGTGTCCCTCGCTCCAAGCCTGACCTGGCCACGCAGCCAGCAGGAGTTATTCTGGGCTCCACATGACTGTGTTCCTGGGCCAAGGTTTAGGCTATTGGGCAAGTTTTGAGGTTGGGGAGAAACAGCCGGGGGCTTCTCCTTTTCCTCAAGCCCTTAGGACCTCTGTGGCAGAGGCAGTCAGCCCAGCCCCCTCATTCTCAGCACCCCCAGCTGCCCCTCACCCCTCTGGTGGCTGCTCCAGCGAGGCTCTGCGCCCTGGCTCTCCAGCAGCAGGTCGGCTGTGCTGTGCGGGGGGAACAGCTCCTGCAGTCTTGCCAGGTCTCCGGTGTAGATGGCATTCTGCAGGGCCATGTCTCGGCAGAGCAGTGGTGATGGTTGATGGGTCTCCCAGGCTGGGCGGGAGTGGGGCTCCCAGACCCGGCAGGCAGAGGCAGAGGGGAGGCACCCCAGATGGTGTCCCCAGTGGAGAGAGGAGTTCTTTCCCCAGGGCATGGCTTGTTCTGTGAGAGCCAAAGCAGCGGGACTCCTGGCAATGTGGCTGGTGGGTGCTGGGCCCAAGCTTCGTGGGGCCCAGTGTGGGAGGCACAGGGGAACACAACATCAGGCCAAGCCATAAATAGCCCTGACAGGCCCAGCTGTCAGGCTGGGTGGGGGAATTAGGGAGGGGCAGGAGAACAAGTGAGGGCTGAGCCCTCTGACCCTGAACCTCGCCCCAGGGCTGTATGACCTCCGGTGGAAAAGGACCACCCGGACCATGCGGTCCATTCCACCATCTCAGCATTAAAGGGCAGTGAATTTCCCAAGATCACACGGAGAACTTGTTGCAGAGCCAGACCTGGAACCTGGGACCTCAAGCTTCTCTGCTTCACCAAATCAGCCTCCAGCCATTTGGGCTCTGATCCCCCGGGAAGGCTTGGGGATGCCAGATAATATTTCCTGCCCTTCCCAATGTCATCCCTTAGCCCTGCACCTTCCCACTCCCAAACCAAGGGAGGAGTTCACAGTAGTGACAGAGATTGCCCCCGCTGTGTGAGGCACCCCTCGGGGGGCTCCCGAAGACAGATATGTCTGGAAAACAGGGTGTAACCCACAGGCAGCCACAGAAATTCCCTATGCCTGCCCTTGATGCTGACCCTCAATCTCCCTGGATGACCTCTACCTTGGGTGACATCTCTCCTTTGCTGTGGTAACATGGGGTCTCCACTAGAGAGTGAGAAAGGAGAATTGTCTCTGTCTACTCAGGCACTGACTTTTGTTTGGGGTACGGGTGGATCAAAAGGAAAAAAAGGGAGGAAGAAAATGTGAAACCAAGTGCCCAGGCTCAGCCCTGACCCACCACTGCCCACTGTGGGCTCGGGGTGCTCCAACCCCAGTGGTCTTGCCCCTTTGGCTCACACTGGCTTAAAAATTTTTTTTTCTTGATGATTTATGTTTTACCCTGAATACCTTCTGGACACAAAAATTTTTGTAATCAATTGCTTTTTAAAGTTTCATTTTTAATTGACCAATAATTGCATATATTTATGGGATATATTTTGATACATGTATATAATGTATAATCATATCAGGGTAATTAACACACTTATCAAATGATATTTACCATTTCTTTGTGGTGAAAACATTTAAAATCGTCTCTTAAAGCCTGGGCATGGTGGCTCACGCCTGTAATCCCAGCACTTTAGGAGGCCAAGGAGGATGGATCACAAGGTCAGGAGTTTAAGACCAGCCTGACCAACGTGGTGAAACCCCATCTCTACCACATATATAAAAATTAGCCAGGCGCGGTGGTGGGCGCCTGTAATCCCAGCTACTCGGGAGGCTGAGGCAAGAGAATAGCTTGAACCTGGGAGGCAGAGGTTGCAGTGAGCCAAGATCGCTCCACTGCATTCCAGCCTGGGCGACAGAGCAAGACTGTCTCAATCAATCAATCAATCAATCAAATCCTTTTTAAACTATTTTGAAATATACATCATTATTCACTATAGTCACCTTGCTGTGCAATAGAACAGCTGAACTTATCCTATCTACCTGTAACATCGTACCCACTGACCAATGTCTCTCCTTTCCCTGTCCACTGCCCCTGAGCCCTCAGCCTCTGGGAATCACCATTCTACTCTTTACTTCTAGGAGTTTGACATTTTTGGATACCGCAATAAGCAAGATCATGCAGTATGTGTCTTTCTGCACCTGGCTTATTTCACTTGATGCTGACCCTCAGTCTCCCTGGATGACCTCTACCTCGGGTGACAACTCTCCTTTGCTGTGGTAACATGGGGTCTCCACTAGAGAGTGAGAAAGGAGAAGTGTCTCTGTCTACTTATAATTATATTTATGGGATATATTTTGATACATGTATATAATGTATAATCATATCAGGGTAATTAGCACACTTATCAAACGATATTTATCATTTCTTTGTGGCATTAATTATAATGCCCTCCAGATACACTGAATTTAAAAATCCATTCATCCACTGACGGACACAAGTTGTTCCCAAGTCTCGGCAATTGTGAGTAGTGCCGCAGTGGACACGGGGTACAGACATAGCTTCTGCACTCTGGTTTCAATTCCTTTGGTATATACCCAGTACTGGGATTGCTGGATCATAAGGTAATTCTATTTTTAGTTTTTTGAGGAACCTTCATTCTATTTTTCAAAATGGTACTAATTTACAACACCACCAGCAGCACACAGAGTTCCCTGCTCAATACTAGCCAGTCTAACAGACGTGAGATAGTATCTGTGTGGTTTTTGATTCACATTTCTCTGATGATTAATGATGTTGAACATATTTCCAGATATCTGTTGGCCATTTGTATGTCTTCTTTTGAGAAATGTCTATTCAAGTCATTTGTCCGCTTTTTAATAGGGTTCTTTTCTTGTTATTGAGGTAGTTTGAGTTCCTTGTGTATTTTGGATATTCACCCCTTATCCGATGTTTAACTTGCAAATATTTTTTCCCAATCTGTGGATTGTCTCTTCACTCTGTCATTTCCTTTGCTGTGCAGAAACCTTTTCGTCTGGTGCAATCCCATTTGCCTATTTTTGCTTTCATTGCCTATGCTTTTGGGTCATATCCAAGAAATCTCTACCCAGAGCTTTCCCCAATGTTTTCTTCTAGTGGTTTTACAGTTTCAGGTCTCCCATTGTCTCTTACTACCTGTGAACACACCTTGGCCTTCAACCACACACTCTGTACATGGTCCATGGATCTGCCTCTTCCAAGAGAACACCCTGGGGCTCCCCAGCCCTTGGTATGGTTGCCCCTGCTCTTCTGAGTTCTCTGACCCCACTCACTGTTGAGCTGTTCCCTCCCAGCAAGGGAAACCCACATATGGACCCCCACCCCAAGGGCAGGAGGCTCTATCCCATTGAGCACCAAAGGTTAGGGTGTGGTCAGAGAACACAGTACAGAGCTGGGGCAGGCAGGGTGCCAGGGGAGGGGTCTTTAGAGAAAAGAAATGAAGGCCACCCAGAGAAATTGGGTCTAGTCAGTGCTGCACTGCCATGTCCACCAAAGCACTGGGTCTACCAGCAGCCCTTGCCCTGGTCACAAAGCCCCACCACTTCCCCACACCATTGCTGAGCCCTGCTCCCCATCCCACCGCCCCCTGCTGCCCAAGCACCCTCACCACCCAGACTTCCCAGACACTTTTGCTAGAATAGTCACACCCTAGAGTAGAAGGGACCTTAGAAATTCCTGGTCCAATCTCTCTTCACTCTATAAGTAAGGAAACTGAGCCCCCAAGACAGGAAAGAACTCTCCGGGTCACACAGGAAGTTAGTGCCAAGTGGGGTCAGAATCAGGCACAGTTAACTTCTAGACTTGGGTGTTTTATTTTTCTATACTGACTGCAGACCTTCCTTCTCCCCTCTCTCCTCTTCGTATTTTTTCTCCCTTAAATACTTTGAGGAGGAAGAGAGTCAGGGAGCCAGGATAGGACAATGACAAGGAATTGAAGACCTGGAAGTGGGGCTGAGGACAGGGATCGAGGAGCCAGAGCAGGGAGGTGGCAGTGAGCCAGCGAGGGCCAGGGCCCAGGAGAGAGGTGGGTGCCAGACGGTGGCAGGCACAGGTGGGGGCACAGAAGGAAGCGTGGGAAGACATGAACATGGATGGACAAGGAGAGTCTGTTCCCAAGTCATCTGGGCTTTTATGCCTCTGCCCCATCCCTTTACCCCTGGGCCACTACCCTGTCCCACCCCACTGATCTCAGGTGCCCGCAGGCCTCAGCCATCACTTCCTTTGCTTCTTCTCCTTGGTCAGCTTGGCCTCCTCAGCCTCCAACTGGTCCATCCTGTGTTTCATGTTCTTCTTGCCCAAAGGGGTCTTGAAGTACCAGTCCTGGGTTGATGGGCACAGGAGGGGTAAGGCCCTCAGACCCATCCTGACCTCACCCCTCCCCTTTTTTCAGATTCTGTTTCCTCAGCAGCCTCTTCTCTTGCCCAGGGTTTGGAGGTCCTATTAGAGCTGAGGTTTCCCTTGCTCCCCACCAAGTGCTTTAGGCATGATGTCAGCCATTCTCAGGGGACAAGCCCTCCTCCCTCCACACTTGCAGCCCTCTCTCCTGTGCTCCCAAGGCCATCCTTGGGTGGGCACTGACTCAGGGGTAGGAAAGGTGGGTGCCAGCTGCTGTCAGAACCTACCAAGGGCTCCTGATACCTCAGTGGCCCTTTCAAGCTCCCATCCTCAGGGAAACCAGGTGGAACAGCCCCAAAGCCTTGGCATTTCCTGGTGATTTCCTGCTCCCTTCCCAGCTGAGCTCCACACGCATTTCCACCAATTGTCTTCTGGTAATTAGTGGGAGTTACAAATTACCAGAGGGAGGGGAGGGGTATGAGGTATGCTTTGGGGGGGCCTGACTCCCCAAAGGCGCTGCTCATCCACAGCCCCTGACCCTGCTGCCTCACCTTCAGGGACTCCTCCTCCTCCCTGTACACTGGATCCAGCTTCGACAGTTGTCCTAGGAACTCGGAGGCCACCAGGGGCCGCTTGGACAGTTGCAGGAACCGCCGCTCACTCAGCACCGACTGGATGGCTTGGAGAATGTGACCCGGTGTGTAGCCATCGGAGACCTTGGCCAGGGCACTGATGTCCAGGCGCTGGGTTGGCTGGATGCCCTGGGCCTCTATCATACGCTTCCAGAGCACTGCAGGCACGTGGAAGACATGGGGCTTGGAGGGGCAGTGGGCACCAGGGAGAGGCAACAAGGCCTGAGCAGCCCCCGCCTGGATCTGGAAGGAGCTTTGTGCTCTGGGGGGCAGCTCCCAATCATCAGCTCCCCTTCCCCTGAGGAGGTACCAGATCTCAAGTGAGGCAAGGGTCATCCTCCCAACTCAACCTGAGGATGTGGAGACTCGGAGGACATAAGCCACCTGCTTGTGTCCACAGAGTCGAAGCCAGGACCCAGGCCACTGGACTGCTGGTCTAGCAGCCCCTCCCGAAGACCTGGCTGTGGAGTGAGGGCTTGCAGCAGCAGTGGGGGATGGGGAGAGAAGTGGGAAGGCTTTGGGAGGAGCAGCCAGCCCTGAGTCCCCAGGCCTCACCATAACGGGATGCGTAGTCAGGCCTGGGCATCAAGAGGATCCGCTCGTAGACCTGGCACAGCCCCCGTA